TCATGACACTCAAACAGGGAGCGGATCTAACTTCCTCTTGTCTTATCTCTTGTGTGCTTGGAACTATTTCCAGATCAGTCAGTTTGGGGCTGGGGGCTGGGGGGTAAAATCACACAGATTTGTTTTCCCCCCGTTTTGCACTGGGAAGAGAACGAGCGTGCATACGTCTGCATACGCTGAGGCCTGTTTAAGGAATGGACGCGGTGGGGGTCTTCTAGGGGGTTATCAAAGCATGCCTCATCCACTGCGGGCCGAACGCTAAGATCAAGTCAGTGCCTCATTGTGTCTGTATGAATGACCCTGGGGGAAACACCAGCTCCTGCTGCGCTGCATACATTCTCCTCCACGCTTGCTCTGCCCAGGGTGTGGCCCAGTTCGCGAGGATTACGCTGAGGAATGCAGCCGAGCCCATCTTTTAAAGAAGGGTGGGGGGCACAGAGGCCATGGGCATAAAGTTCACGTTCACCGAGGCTTCCTAAAGAGGTCAAAAAATGCAAATGCAAAAAAGCATAGAGGGAGGAAGTAACAATTAAATTAGAGGAATGTATGACTTATAAAAGCCGTATTCGGTATCTGTTTAGCATTGGAATTTCAATGTGCGGCTATGGAGCAACAGATTAACTCAAGGTCACAGGTACTTTCCCACTAAATACAGTCTTTGACAATTAGTTTAAAAATAGTTTAAAAGTTGCTCTGACTCTTGGCTTGGCTAGACATGTCACGCCCTCTTGCTCCCACCTTTATTTCTTAACTCCTTCGAGCTGAATCACTCCTTCTCCTCCCATTTATCAAACACTGCCACCTTTCCTTCTTTCCCTGTTCCCTCGCGTCTTTATTTACCGGTGTTAGCCGTCCCACGACCCCAAAAACCAACTCTCTTGAAGCAGAATCCGGATTAAGATGTTCTTACCAAGTGAGTGACAGAAACCAGGGCACCTCACTCCAAGGGGAGGGGGGGTACCATGTGAGAGTATGTTTCTGCAGTGTGGTAAAACAGCCATTTAAATGTCAATCTCCTCATGAGCTGCCTATTTTTAGTATTTTCTGCTCCCGTCCTACACATATTATATCGTATTATGCGCTGACAAACACTCAAAAACAAAAATTGAGACAAACGCTCTGGACATGAGGAGGCTGTTGCAGCAGCGGGATGAAATATAACCCAGGCAGCTCAAGAAAAAGAAGGAGAGGACAGTGTTAACAAAAGGTTACTGTCAGAGGCATGGCCAGTGTGACATCATCACATGACTAGCGTGATTGCATTTCGTCCATTACCTTAGGTATTCTCGCTAATTTCCTACAGCCCCCTCCTCATCACATCTCTACCATCGCTATGTCATGGTTATCTGTCAAACATTATCTGTGACACTGCTGGAGACTCAGGGCTGCCTGTACTGATTATCTATGATTAACTATATGTTCACATGTTTAACAAAAACATGAAAATACATGCTCAGCTACCTCATGTTTACCAACAGCCAAATGTGACTATAGCTTTATCTGGACGCACATGAAGCAGCTTGTCCTATTTTGAGAGATGACAAATGTAGCACAGAGACACTATTTCTAAAGGTGTCAGAGTACAGCAGGACAGCAAAAAATAACCTCCTAGACAAAACGCTATAGCTCTGGATGCTGCAAGCTTTATGATCGAGAAAGCAGACCGAACAGGAATAATCGTCCATTGCACAGCACACTAACAGAAAATCTGAAAGGCCTCGGGTGCTTCTCCGAGCCTCATCAGTAAGGATGGATGCGCATGCAGGGCCAACAACTGAATTACACTCTCAAATGTAATTTATACCTAAAAATATACAAGGCGCTTATCTGTCTTATCTCACCACAAGCGATGACGGCAGTAGCCTTTCCTGAGTCGTCCCGCTGCATTGTGTTTAAAATTAATAACACCTTTTAAAAGCCATGTTGCAGAAGAGGTTGCCAGTCGGGGACACCTCTAATTTACATGATCTCATTTAAAAATATTTTTTAAATATGCAGCGCAAACACTCACTTAATCATTGGCCAAAGATCTTAGCTCGCACATGATCATGTGGTTCCACATGGTTGCATACATTCAAAATAAAGCTTCGTTTTTCAGTCTGCGGTGGTCTGCAAGATAGAGATTTTACTATATGAGTTCAATAACAACCCCATCGTCCAACTCAGTAACAACAACAGGACTTAAATTTACCACTGATATGGTGTGTTTGCCTGACAAGTACAACAACAGAGTTTCACCTCTACTCTGCTCCTCCCCTGAGCCATGCCTTTCACATGTTTACCTAAAGAACCCGGGTCACGCCTGGCAGCGCACACACCCCTGGCATCATAGTCTTATCAGACGAGGAGACCCAGGGAGATGATCCAGGCGTAATTGGGTGGAACTCAGCCTGCCGTGGAGCGAAACACATTTCCTGATGCATAATAAAGCATTCATTCTCTTAGCTGTCACGAGGGGAGTCTTTGTGAGAGAGGAGCGGGTTGGAGTTAAAAAGTACAGAGAATCTTGTATTCCGGTTCTGTTGCTGGGCTGCGTGTGGGGGGAGGGAGAGAGGCTGCAGATAGAGATCAGTCCATGCGTTTAACATTAGCAGACTGACTTACACAGCGACAGGAGACAACAGACAATAGCACGAGTAACCTTTGTACACAGTCGCAAGGTCACATGCAAAAAACTCAGTAGCTGTGTTTTCGGGATACAGTTTTGTTATACAGAATAATAAAAAGAAAACATGATGGCATCAATTTATCTAAATCCTTAATCCACTAGACCTGGCCAGTGTTGCACTGTATACTCATATTGCAGTACCCTGTCGTAAAAAAGGTCTATTACCCTATTTTACTTGTACAAACTGTGATTTATTAAGTGCCATATTTCAAATCAACTGGAAAGAGTCCACTCCTTGCAATTACCACTTTCATGGTGACAAGTGCTCTTGCTGATATAAACATAAAATCACACACACCCTCAAATATGAATAGAGCGAGAGTGATTAATTTCAATGTCTCATTTAAGTAAACGTGATTATAAAGAAGATAAGAAGAATAAATCACATGAACTATACACAAACATTGATACTATTAACGTAATTATTTACAAAATTGTAATTATCAATCTACAAATTTCAAAACAGCTCATTAACTGTAAGTCTGTTACTTTCTGGTGATGGTTGAGGTCTAACTTGACCTAGGCGTTTTGTAGTTTTCTACTCATTACAATTTTAAATTTAGAAATTACGATTAATGACAACAGGTCTCTCTTTTCCATGTTCTGTCATTTCATGTAATGCCAATCTTCCTGAGGTTTTTTGCTGTAGTTCTGTTTATACAGGAGCTGGGAAGAATGTCAGCTCAGCCCGTAACCATGAGCTAAGTCAATAAGCTGCTACTGTAACACCCTAAACTTGTTTTTATAGCAACAAATAAATAATTGAAGAGGTGCAACTTGTAATGCAGAGGGCTTTTACACAGTCTGGAAAGCTTGCTGTGTCTTTGAGGAGAGACTGGGTCACAATTTGACGACGTCCAAGTGCAAACCACCACTTTTCATGTTCTAAATATGACAAAACGTTCAGCATCTGAATTAAGAAGAGTGGATCAAGCCTGTCTTTTGTCACAACCTTGAAATCCACTTTAAACACACTGCACTGCTGTATGTGTTCACAACACCTACAGTGTATACTTAAAAAAGACAAACGCCTCACAGTTACGGTGTTCTGCTCCAGTTTCTTTGGCTATTTATCATTGTCACTGTCGCCTTTTTCCCTTTTTTTGTTTTTTTTTCCCACTCAGCTTGAAATAATAGGTCGCTCTTGGATGTAGTCGTCTCATTTGCAGCATATGGGGACTTGTGTGAAGTGACCTTGTTATAATTGGAAAGGCTTTCAAAGTGTTAAACTAATTTAACATATTTTACCACCATGAAAAAAATAGTGTTAGAGCAAGTGTATCAAACATACCAATATAACAGCGATATAACTCATGATAAGAGGGGCCAACAGATAACCCACTGTCCTGTATTAAAGAAAAAATCTCTTTAAAGGTCCAGTGTGTAAGATTTAGGTGAAAGGGAACTATTGGCACAAATTTAATGTAGAATAATCCTCATGATGTTTTCATCTAAATTGTATGAATTGTAGTTTTCTTTAGCCCAGAAAAGGCCCTTTATATTTAAATACATTATATTTACATCAAGGGGACCCTCTCTACGGAGGCCACCATGTTTTTTTACATTAGTCCAGACTGAAAAAACTAAACACCTTTTAAGTTTTTATGACAACTGAAGCTACCATAGGTTCTTTTTCATGTTTGGAAGGAGAGGGTGAGGTGAGGGGTGTTCAGCTGCAACATGCAACTTCAACACTAGACATCCCAAAATTCTACACACTGTAACTTTAACATGGATTTAACAATTCTATGCATTTATAATTCATTTAAGATTCTGTTCTTAAATTGGAAAAAACATAATAACCACATTACAGAACAAGCTCTGGCTGCCGATGTTGTTTGGTCGGTTGTGTGTGACAGCTGACGTGCACCCAGGAATAGAAGTCCTGGAACGACCTAAGGCGATCAGACGTTCCCCCACAAGTAAAGATGATGGACAAGTGGTGGTAACATTAGAACTTACCGTATGAAAAAAAACAAGCGCACACGCACACACACAAATTTGGTGACAGGGAACATGTCAACAGACCTCGGTGGCCTTCAGCTTCATAGGTCAGACTGTTGTGCTAACTGCAGCACAGCACCAGAGACCTGCCACACACACACATTTGAGGAGATAACCTACACCCACCAATCATTAGGAACCACATAGCTGGAACATTTTACATAAGGTGCTATATTTGTGCTGCAGTGATGTATCCATTTATTCATATTTGTTTTATATCACTTGACAATTCACTGCGGTTATAATGATGTCTGGAGTGTTACTTGTAACCCTGACAACAAATAAACCGCATGAAAAGATGTGTATGTGTGTGTTTAAAAGTCCTTACCTTTAACGAATCAAAGCAGGCAATCACCCTCCCATTCTCCACCTGGCAGCTCTTGGGCGGGTGGGCGAATTTGCACTCCTCATCGCTACGTGAACACGTCCCTCTCTGAAACTGCCGGCACACTTCCAGGGTCAGCCATTTTGTGTCCCGTATCGATGCAATGTTTAGAGCCATGTCAGCAGCGCTGGTCGTGGAGCTGGGGTGGAGCGGAGTTATCCTCGGAGGAGGAGGTGGCTTCGGCGTTCCAATTAAAAAAAATAAAACAAACAACAACTAAAAACTAATTGAACATGTAGCTATAAATGATCTGCTGCAGGTCAGTGGATGAAGTTTGTCCTTGTGGACAGGACAGTGGAGGTAATGGACTCCAAAGTCTCTGTGAGCGGAGCATGGGACTTCACTGCTATTGTAGAGTCTGTCAGTCAAACAGCTAATTGTTCATCAATCAGTAAGTCTCAGGTGCGGACCTCTGACAAGACAGAGGGGGCATGCTCGGAGACAATCTCTGCTGGTTGTACGGATGTCCCCAAAATGTCCTTCCTATGACTGATGATATCTGTGCAAGGGGGGATGTTAGGGAGCAAAAGTGGGGCTATTTTGAGGTGCAATGGCACAGTTTGGAACAACACAGAGTTTGTGGCGATCTATTGTTTAAAAGCCTTCAGTACCTACTCTTTCTGAGTTTTGGCACCTTGGCCAGAAGCACAGCAGCTCCGCCTCTTCACTCCAGGTGGGCAGGACAGGTCAGGACAACCCAAAGGGGTCAGGGGGTGTTAATGGGGCTGAGCTAAATCCCGTCACGACTGCAGAAGGAGAAATCTGAAGCTCGTCAGAAACACCCAGGGTTCTTGAAGTAGGGATATTGTCTCACAAGGCACTTTCTGTCAGTGATCTGAAATGGATACACAGAAAGAGAGAAAAGAAACAAACAGACTGAGGTTACTTTCAGAGTGAGAAAACCTCTTGCTAAATATCAGCAGGCAGTACCAGTTTTTATGTGTAGGCATGTCAGTGTGAATTTAGGTGCATACTAACCCAGAGGGGTGCTAGTTCTAGAGGGCAAAGGGGTGATGAACCAGAAAAAAAGGCAGTTGTGAGGTTATCTAGAAGCCGTTTGAGGTTTAAGTCCCCCAGTCACAGCTGTGTCCCATTACACGGGGTGACTACTCGCCCACTGGCTGTCAGACATATTGCACACAAAGCTGTGAATGGCAAAAGCCTCCGTGCTATGAGACAGCGGACAAGAGCATCAACTCAGAGCAGAGATAGAGAAAAAAGCCCCAGAGTGCAACCCGCCCTGTAGAGCCATGCACCGAGGGATGGCGCAGCCAATAGAAAACAGCGTAGCGCAGCACTATTCTGGGCAGCCGTCCAGAAGCCAGAGAGGAACCGAGACAGATGCATATGCAAGTGCCAGACGCGATTATGACACTGCCTAGTGTCCTGCAATATTCACTGGTCCCCCACCATCCAAATTAGACGCCGGCTCATTGACAGTGGCCTGTCAATTTACATTCACAGGGGGGGAATGTGTGTCCTGTCCTGTGAACTGATCTCTGTGTCTGGTTGTTAGGGATAGAGGAGGGGACAGTTGGTGGAGCAACAATGTGAGGAAGTGACCTTTCGTTTGAGTGTTTGAAATCCAATACCAAGCTACTGCGTAGGAAGCTCCTTTTTTGGCACATCTGGAAATATTTTTTTTTGCAGAAGGGGTGTTTGAAGACACCAGACTAGGGGAGGAGGAGATGGAGAAGGGTTGTAAAAACCCACAGCTCTGGTTAAAAGATTCTCCTTTACTATTTTAATAAGTGTATAAACATATAAATGGGAACGTTTGATAACATGGGAACAATATCTAGAATAACCTCTGAAGCCATATGATAAGCTCCACTTGTTAATGAAGGCAAGTTGAGACTTGTACTCGAAATATCTAAGCTACTGTTAAGGGAAGAAGAAATCCCAAATTCCCAGCTCAGGCAGAGGAACTTACACAGTTGTCATACTGGTGAGCAGACGTTCAGGTCCTGTCAGATTTGGGTTCAGCACAGTAATTTTGCTCTGCTGTCCTGCAGACCTAAACAACATCCTTCATTTTGGTTTAATTAGTTGGACTCTTTAATTGGAGAGAGCTGCATTTTCTCTGTAGTTCTGTCGGAAATATTAAAGGGAGAAACTCAAAAGAATAAGACCATACCTCCAAAAATGTTTCAAACTAGGCCTGTGTTTCTGTTTGCTGACAAATAAACTTTCCTGAGGCACCACTGCTTGAAAACGTATGAACCCTATCCATTGTCTAGCTAATCATAATGTCCCACTTTAGTGCTGATCATGTGAAATGAGATGAGACGCTTCCTCGCCCGATCATACCGACTCCTAGGCTCTGCTCTCCAAAGCAAGGATTTAATTTCACACCGACTCCCCAGGGAGAGAGCCAATCGCTGCGGAAGAGACAGTCAGGTAAGAATCATGTCAGATCTGACCTTTCACAATTAATCCCGTCTTATTTTTAGAAGCCATAAGAAGTGTGCGATCCAGCTAACCTACTTTGTCAGAACGTGTGAGGGGACGGCGGCGCCACGTCTCTGTGAAATGACTTGGCCTCAGTCTGTCACTTTTATTTTTGTGGAGAGCGCAGAGGTAGTGAAGGCTTTCACAACATCGAGTAGGCCCACAGTGTGGATAAAGGATGGTTGGGGTCGTCTGAGTGCTCACAAAAAACTCAAAAGGCTTTCAAACACTGCTTGACAGGAGAGATATTCAAAACAAATGCCAAGGACTGAAGATTAAGAGAACCCTCATATGGGCGAGGGTATGATAAAGATCTTACAGAAACACGACCGCATGTCTGTTCCTGTATGTTTGTACAACATGCAGATTTCACCACTGGCCTAGACAACGTGTTTTCTCAGGCTGGTGCTATGATGGCACAAGAATCAGCATCGAAACTAGACCCAAATCCATTATTTCATAATCTGCTTAGAAAATGAATCAATCACAATTTTTTAAATCAAAAATTCAATCATTCAGTCAACCAAGCCTAACCAATTAGCCTGGAAGAGATTGACGGGAAGAAGTGAAACAATGCTGTCATAGCATGTGCATCTACTGCTCGCCTCGGGAAACACACAAATTGCCATCCTGAGGGGAAAACTGTTACCTTTGTCATATAACAACATCCCATCCTAAGAAGATGAGAAGCTCAACACATACAGTGCAAGAAAACTGCTTTGGGAAAACAGCACCTGAGGTCAGAGGCAGCACATACAGTTTTGGTTTAGTCTGGTTTTTATGTGTCCGAGGATGGCACGCTTCTGGCTTGGGTTTTGCTCAGCTTCATGCAACCTGGCTTTGTTTACACTGAGCTTAGCAGTCAGGCTTTGAGGAATAATGCTACTAGTATGGAGGGAGAGAAGGACAGATGGTTGGCAGGTAGGACGGGATGATACAGCACCCTGTTTTCACCTCTCTGAGATTAGCCCTCCTATGCTCCCCCACGGCTGAACCATGCTCTGTTTCTGCAGTTTCGAGTTCTTCCAGGGATGAAAAAAAAAAAAAGTGAGGATCAGCATTCAAGAAAAATAGTCATAATCACACAGGAATATATTGTGTGATTTTTATTTGGATCTGCACCAAATTTAAGAAATATCCTTGTTTTTTTTCCATCAAGATCCACAAATTATTCTCTGATAAATCAAGGAAAATGTTAAAAAACGCAATGTGTAGAAAAATTATTGCAACTGCACCCTGATCCAGATCCATAATAACATTTAATGGGTTCGTCCCTGAACCACAATGCATCCTTCAGGCAGTTTTCTGTTTTATTTTTGTGTGGAATCCTGCAAACTAGCAAATAAACACCCTCCTTGGTGGAGGTAGTAAAAACAGCCACATTCTGCACATCAGTCTGTATATCATATTTATCTTAAATACATAAGATCCAGCAGGAAGGCTGTGTCCCCTCTGTGTCCTCAGTACAAACAGTGGACAGACAGTGTGACCTGCTAACGCAGGGCAGAGATGTGAAGAAAAGCACCAGAGTACTAGACTTTATGGATTACTGACGCTTACTAAGGCCAGCTGGCAGGGGCATTATCTTGGTCAGTCTGCTTAATTGAATGAGAGTCAGAGGGACTGGGGCGTCTCGAGTGAAAGTCATTGGCGTGACCTCTGAATACCACGTATGTAACCCATTAGTCTGGTATCTGTGCGCTCTGGCCGTGCGGCGTGCTTTATCTCTGCTGCTTGTATTTGCTCAGCAGCGGAGATAAGCTACCTGGTTTCCATTGGTCGTAAAACCCTGGAACAACGTTTACTGTGGCATCAGCCAGGTGTTGCCAGCAAAACAAAAAGTAGAAATACAAAAGAGTGTGACAGACAAGCGCATGAGCAGGGTACCTGAGTGGCTGCATTTCCATTTATTACCATTTTATGCTGGCAAACCACAGTTGTGCGGCAATTTGCATCGCCAAGAGGGACAAGAGGTCAATGTTTTTTCAAAGCTGTGGAGAGAGGGCCTCATTGTAGAGGGGAAATAGGAAAATGTTCCGTTTCCAGTGAGTAATGGAAAATAAGTGCGCCATATAGTGCTATAATGATTTGATCAAAATTTCCTCCATCCCTCATGAATCTAGGCCTGCAAAATGTTTCTTTGCATCTTCCTCAGAGGATCAGAGCAGGTCTATACCCCACAGCCTAATTCCTATTTAATACTGTGGACGCTGTGATGCTTATGAAATTGTCTTTGGCATAAGCTACGGCTCCTTGAGTTCAATATTATCAAGTACTATTAGCGATAAGGACGGGTGAGCGAGCTCAGCAGAGTCTATACCAGGACTAAGCTAGGAGGCAACACGAGGAGTATTTCACAGAGTCAGCAGATAGGTGTGTCCCATATCATAATAGTCTTAACTAAACCACAGTGACCCAAATGGTGCTGCTCATGATATGGGCCCTGGCTTTCCTCTCCTGATCAGTGGTGCATTTCATAACAAAGATGATAGATATGTTTTTAATAAGGACTGAAACAAGACAAGAGAGCAATTTGGTATGTGTGATTGAAATCTGCCCCTGCACTCAGTAAATGGAATTTATACTTTCCTGTGTCAGTGTTCTTGTTGACTCCCTGTTTAGCCACAGGAATCAGGGAAGTCATCAACTAATTACAGTAGAGTTGGCAGCCAGAGGTGAATAATGCTGCTCAGATAAACATCATGTTTAACAGAATGAAGTGAAAATTGTAGAAGCACCACTGACACTTTGTACTGTACATACCTAAAATCAAGAGAATACTAGATTAGATTAAAGCTGTTGTTCATTCAAATATAAAGTGGAAATCTTAAGCGTTCAAATTGCAGCTCTTGAAAACATAAGAGCTGAATGATTCAGCAATTTCAATCCTTGTGTCACAGAGCAATCAGACTTCTTCTTTCATGCAGAAGACGTCTGAAAAAAACAACTACCAACCACTAAGTCCTTTTAATACCATCTCCAAGTACAATTTGCATGAGAGTCAATTTCGGAGAAGGGGATGTAAGGATTACGGAGTCTTGCGGTAAGGTCTGAGACGTATACTATTCTTTTCCCTAAACAGGAAGGGCTGAACTGATGTTCCATTTTAGAAAACACCCACTTCCCCCTTGATCCGCGGCCAGACGTATGACACCACCCTGGCCTTATCCATGCAGGCGATGATGTCCACTGCCGGAGCGCACCAGGCCAAGCATCTAGCACAGAGCTGTGGATGGACAGCAGAAAGCTAGGGACATGTCAACCATGCCCCATCTAAATCAAAAGGTTAATTATGATGTGGGCCTTATTAGAACTGTGAAGTTCCAGCTTATTCAGGCCATTGGCTATTTGCGTCAACATACATAAAGAGTGAAGAAACAGC